TCTCTATCCCTCTCTTAAACAGAACAAAACTTTTTTTTTTTTTTTTTTTTTTTTTTTAGATTTTATTTATTTGTTTGACAGAGACATAGAGAGGGAACACAAGCAGGGGGAGTGGGAGAGGGAGAAGCAGGCTTCCCACTGAGTAGGGAGCCCTATGGCTGCAGGCTCGATCCCAGGATGCTGAGATCGTGACCTGAGCTAAAGGCACATGCTTAACGACTGAGCCACCCAGGTGCCCCAAAACAAAACAATTTTGAGGAGATATGGCAATACTCACTGTAAAACAACCTATTGTACACTTACTTCATATAAGTTATGATTAGGTACAGTAGGCAGTCTGAAGGGAAAAAAGCATAAATACACTTGAAATGCACTTGAAGGGTAAGAGGGGAACAAAAGAAAGCCTCCATAACTCTTTGTAACCCAGCTTGTATGGAGATTCAAGGCAACTGGTTTGCCTTAAGATTGCTAGGGAGATTAAGAAGTAAGAAAGGGAAATGAGTTTATGTGTTTAATTTTGCAAGATGTTTTAGAATATTGTCTTAGTTATCTTTTGAATGGAAGTAAAAATTCACTTGGTACTAAAACCAGAAGAGAACAAAAAGACTTGAGCTGAAAAGACTCCCTCTGATCTGATGCCTGTCCTTCCAGTTCCCTTTTCTGGAGGCACTCACTGTGACCAGCTGTGGAAGCTTCCAGAGTTTTTGGAATCACTTCCAGATTTTTTTTTTTTTAAAGATTTTATTTATTTATTTGACAGAGAGAGATCACAAGTAGGCAGAGAGGCAGGTAGAGAGAGAGAGGGAAGCAGGCTGTCTGCTCAGTGGGGAGAGCAGAGAGCCTGATGTGGGGCTCGATCCCAGGACCCCGAGACCATGACCTGAGCCGAAGGCAGAGGCTCTAACCCACTGAGCCACCCAGGTGCCCCGGAATCACTTCCAGATTTATGAGGATATTAGTTTCCTGTGGCTACTGTGACAAATGAGCGCAAACTGGGTGCCTTAGGACAACAGAAATGTGTTTTCCCACGGTTCTGAAGACTAGAAGTTTAAAATCTGTATCCGTGGGCTGAAGTCAGGTGTGGGCAGGGCTGAACTCCCTCCAGAGGTTCGAAGGGAGAGTCCCTTCCTTTCTTGGGCCAGCTGATGTTGCCTGCCAGTACTCATTCCTTGGTCCCTGGCCCCATCATTCCAGTTTTTGAGACCAGACCTTCAAACCTCCCTCTGCTCTGTCTTCACATGGTCTTCTCTTGTGTATTTGTGTGTGTGTGTGTGTGTGTGTGTGTGTGTGTGTGTGTGTGTGTGTAGTCTCCTTCTACTTCTCTCTTAGCTGGATGCATGTGACTGCATTTAGAACTCACCTGGACAGTCCATCTCTAGATCTTTAACTTAATCACATCCGCAAGGACTTTGCCATATAAGGTAACGTTCACATGTTCCAGGGTACTACGTGAATTTGTTTGGAGAGGCCATTTTTCAGCCTACTATAGCGATAAAACAAATAGGATACTAATCATACTTCTCTGAACTTTGCTTCTAGCAGTGTAAAACTGGAATCATCTAACTAATTCAAGACTGGCTAAATGATGAAATAGCCATAGAGTCAGGTATAGTGTCACCACTACAAATGAAGTGGATATATACTGACATGGAACCATGTTCACTATAAAGTAGAAGAAAGCAAGTTGTAGGACTTCATAGCGGTGGCATGTGAGTTTAGAAAGATACATGTCACACCTGAGTGGCTTCCCCTGGGGAGTAGGAATGGTGGTTGTTTTGTTTTGTTTTTTTACCTGTTTGTACTTTGGAATTTTAAAATCAAATGTATTTTAGGGGCACCTGGGTGGATCAGTTGGTTAGGCATCTGACTGTTGGTTCCGGCTTAGGTCGTGATCTCGGGTCATGAGCTCGAGCCCCAGGTTGGGCTCAGTACTCAGCGAGGAGGCTGTTTGGGAGGCTCTGTCTCTCTGCCCCTCACCCCATTTGCACGTATGCACTCTGTCCCTGTCCCTAAAATAAATAAATAAAATATTTTTAAAAATTTTAACAAAAATAGAGAACTTGTAAAACAAGTACTTTATAATAAATTCATGTGTTTTATAATAACCCCAGAAGAAAATGGACTTGAGTTTTATTTTTCTGGATGAATTATGTTGCAGATGTAATACAGGATTATTGCAATTTAACCTTTTTTGATTTGTTGCCCAGATAGCAGACCCTACTTTAGCTGAGATGGGAAAAAACTTGAAAGAGGCCATGAAGATGCTAGAGGACAGTCAGAGGTGAGCCTGGAACAGAAGTGACCCTATTAAACATGTTCAGCCTGTTGTGAAGCTGGTGGCACTGGTTTCCTGCTGGTAAAAACACCTCTTGGTTTCACAATGTCACACTTAGCTTAGCTTCATCTGACTTTAAAGATGGTGTTTGTTTTGCATAGAAGGTACTTTGTAATTAAAAGATTTTGAAATTGTGGGGCAGGACTTACTAATTTTCAGTTCTGCCTGTTAAGAATTTCATTTACTTAACAGATTGATTTGAAGTCTGTAAATGCTCCTTGCTCTATGTTTAGGTCATATAGAGCATCAGCTAACCAAAAAATGGGTTAAAGTGTGTTCCTTTCCTGAAATTCAAACTGTACCCCAAACTGGGGCTAGGGCAACAGGACTGGGGCAAGAGATGTGGTAAACGTATTTCAAATCCTGTGTCAGTTACTAAGAGGTTAAAGGCAACATCATCACATGTTTACATGTTCAAATCTTAGAAATTTGATAAGGTAGAACAATCATTTTTTATTTCCTTTAAATTAGAAGAACAGAGGAGGAAAATGGGAAGAAATCATCAGGAGATATTCCGGGGCCACTCCAAGGCAGGTAGGTGACAATGAAGATACATATTTTAGTTGGGTATGTGTTTTCTTTAAATCGAGATTTCCAGACTATAGTTGATGGATAATTTTAGTTGTGATAAGCACAGAGCAAATTGAGAGTCCTGTACCGTGTCGTATCAGAAAACGGGAATGCCGTTGGCTAGTTGTGATAATGCTGAATCTGCCTGCTTCTCGCCCTTTCCCATTCAGCATTTAATTTAATTTCCCATTCAGAATTTAAGAACTTCAGGACTCAAAAGTGATGCACAAACTTAAAATTCTGTAACTCGACTGTCATACTTAGTTCATCCTTAAAGCCTGTCCTCTATTCAGTAGACTGGGCTTTATGGTAAGAGATAAGTTAATTTGATAAGACGTATCATTTTTATAATACAGTAAAATGAAAATGTCAGCTTCAATCTTTTGTAGGCAGGGTGATTTATATATATATTTTTTTTTGGCAACTAAGCCAATCTGTCCAGTGTGTATGGTTGAAGCTAGTAGGCAAAGATCAGAAAAATAAGTAGCTGTGTACCTAAGATATTCACCGGATGTTAAGACTCAGTCTGGAATTAAAGTCCCAGCCCAGCTTCCCTCAAGCTTTTTTTTTTATAACCAGGAAACTGCACATAGGTAAACAGTACAACTCCCTTCAATTATCCTTTGACCTGTATGTGAATATATGCAAGGTTGCAAAAGAGAAGCATGGAGGAAGGACCACTTGTGTCAATTAGTATCCTGTCTAATACACCCAGATACTAGCATTTTATGATAGGCTTCCTGCCTGTAGCCTGACTGTGCTGATCTGAAGCCCTTGGATGTGAAGTGAGTTCTGCAGCTGAGAGCACAAATCAAGTCCTGTCATCCCCCTCTTCTCACACCAATGGAAGAGAATGAAAGGGTTCTGCTGGTCCCACAGAAATTTCCCGGCAAGAGGTAGCAGCAGGGACTTCTCGAATTCTCAGAATGGGAAGGCATTAAAGCCACAGAGCGGGAGCAGTCACACTTAATAATGCTGACACCAACATGGGAGATCGTGTTTGCCAGGCACGGCGATAAACGTGTTCCGTGCACTGATTGTGTCCTCACAGTTCTGTAGTGGGGCTGAGGGAGTTTCAGCAGCTTGCTCAAGGTCACGTGCCTAGCCCCCACTCTCTCCACAGTGCCCGAGGGCCAGAGCCCCTCTCACATGAAGGTCAGCACCTTGGGGAGAAGGGGTATTAGGGCATTGTTTTGTCTGTGCTGCATTTTCAAAGAGATCCTTTTTGTTAGTCGTATTCTCATTAATGGAGTAATACTATTTTTACATTACAGTTACTACAAGTCACCTTGTCATTGCTTACTACCGTTGCCATTCAAATTCTCCTCATAAGTTTTCAACCCCTCATGTAATAAGCGTTTAATAACATATCTTGGATAGAAGTAAAACTGTTTGCACTCGAAGTAGATCTCCAGTTTCCCTGCCTGAGGGAGTGGGGGTAAGAAGCGATGTTTGCATTACATGTTTAAGTCTGTTAGAACAGCCAGGCAAGACTCCTCCGTGGAGGGAAAGCCATACCAGTGGCCTCAGAGTAGTCTTAGTCCCGCTGTGACCTTCCAGCATCTTAAAAAGACTGTGTTGGTTCTTTAACATGCTTATTAAATGTTCTCCTTGGACTCAAATGAACAGGTAGAGAAATAATGCTGACGTAATACTGGTGAAATTTCAGAGATCGATCTCCTGTTTGGGTGGAAGATTTAATAATGACATGGTTATATTGCGAATTCTGTTCATTTGAGGTTTGTTTTTCAAAGATGTCTAGTGTATCTCAAGCACATTCTTATGCTCAATTTAAAAAGAACAACTCGCCAGAGCTGGTTCAAGTGAGGGAGGTAGAGTGGTGAGGGATGTGTGCTCTTTCCACCCCACCCGTCAGCTCTCTTCTCGCTCTGCAGTGGACAAGACATGGTGAGCCTCCTGCAGTTAGTCCAGAACCTGATGCACGGAGATGAAGACGAGGAGCCCCAGAGTGCCCGGTAATGTGGACGGTTGGCAGCTCCTGTTTGAAAGTATATGCGTTCTTGATTTTGATAGTGATTGCATTCTTTTTTTTTTTTTTTCCCCTGTAAACAGTGATTGCATTCTTACAAGTTGCCAAAACAGAGCTATGTTTCATTCAGAGTTACGTGTGATATTAAAACAGTGGTCATTTCTTCCCTTTCGGAGAGACATTTAATATATTTTAGGGAACATACTTCCCTAGGAAGGAAGGCGCTCACTCAGACTCAATCCTGTAGTTTCTCTGGCATCAGGTCTTAGAGAGGGGCTGGCACAGAGACCAGAGAACACTGCTGAGGCCTTTCTGCCGCGGCTGGCTTCTGCCTCATGCTCCCGCCGCGGACCGCTGAGAACAGCAGCTGAATCTGTGGGTGGCAGGCCCCGCTGTCTGTGAATCATCCATTTATTTTTATTCATCTAACTTAGCTATTTATTTAGTTTCATGGTTAATTGTTTTACATTTCATTTGGGGGGAGATAAGTAATGGCATTCTCCTTTTTCAAATTTCAAACAATAAAAAAGGCAGTTTTCGGTCAGTGATACGATGGCATGTGTTACCTGAACCCAAAACTGATGTGAATTCCAAAATTACAGAGGCCTTGGATGAAAAGGGGAATTTCCTTCATACTCTTCCCCTCCCCCTCCACGCTTGTTCTCGTGTGTTCTTCAGAGATACCGTATGTGTATGTGTACACAAGCAAAGTCTCCGTTCCCTCCAGTCTGTAAATACTGTATGTTGTTCTGCACGTTGCTGTTTTCATTTATGTCTTGGAGTTTATTATTTATTGGTATACAAAGAGCTTTTGCCTATAAGAGCTGTTTAGTTTTCCTTTTGATGAATGAACCATATTTTATTTAACTGGTCTCCTGTTCATGTTTACTGTTGCAAGCATTGCGGCTGCCGGTAACTATACGTGTGCCATTTATCACACAAACGAGGGCTTCTGGGGATCGAAGTCCTAAAGTGGTATCTCTACGCCAGAGAGTTTGTATATTTGTAATTTTGATAGATACTGCCAAATTTCCTGTGGAATTATGCCAGTTTATAGGCCCACCAGCAGTGCATGAGAATATCTCTCTGCCCACACCTTGCCTACGAGGCTCTTAGCAGACCTAAGGACGGTCGCCAGTCCGCAAGGTGAGCAGTGATATGTCGGCATAATTTTAGTTCACATTTTCCTTATGAGTCAGGTTCGGTTTCTTTTTATGTATTTTAAGGCCCATTTATATTTCCTTTATTATGAAATATATCCTTTGCTCAGTATCCTGTCCAATTTTTTGGTCTTATCGATTTATACTTTTTGTAAGGGAAATTAGTCCTTCCATTTTAATTATGCATAAAATGCTACATGGGTCTCCTTGAATTTGCTGTATTGTTATAAACAGCCCACAGACAGTGTGTGTGTGGGGGGGATTGATCTTCATCTAATGATTCTTTGAGAAAATTTTCTGCCCAGTGTATCTCAGCACTATGCTCTGTAGTTCTTACAGCTGACATTTAATTTAAAAAAAATGGGGACAGAAAATTATTCACAGTTCGTATATTTAGTAGATATTCAATAAAAAGGATATATATCTCCTAGGATTTGAATTTTTAAAATCTTTTTGTTCCCCAGATTATCAGTACTTTATATACATGAATTTCCTAAATTTATCTGAATATTTGACTTCTAGGCCATTAAGTGGATTTCAAGTCCGACAGATTTCTGTGAAAACCCTGTGTCTCTAGGTTTTGTTTTATTGCTTTATTCCTATTTTAAATAAATAAATTTTTTAAATTAAAAAAAATAAAAATTTTAAATAAATACTCTTTTAATATAATTCATTTTGATTAATAGAATCCAGAATATTGGAGAACAAGGTCATATAGCTTTGCTGGGGCATAGTCTGGGAGCTTATATTTCGACCCTGGACAAAGAGAAGCTTAGAAAACTTACGACCAGGATACTTTCAGACACTACATTATGGCTATGCAGAATTTTCAGGTAAGGACACACATGAATTGGGTACAGACTTTTTTTTGGAGCTGTGCTACTTAAGTTCATGTCTGCTTTTTCCCTTTCCTCTTGAAGGGTTTCTTAATCTTTGAATGTCTCAGTTTTATTAAATGGGGATAACATTAATATTTATGTCATGGTATTGTTACGAGGATTAAATGAGCGAAGGAATGAGCATATGTCAAGAGCCAAGAACATATGCACATATAGTTTGGATAATGTCAGAGTTAGTTATTTTTAGGATTCCTGCTTGGCATATGTTGATAGAAGATAGAGTAGGAAAAATGCTTGAAGTATTTTTAATCAAAATATTAGCTTGGGCTTTAGTAGAAGGGAAATGGTGCCATAAGGAATTTGAGTGTGTGTTATGAAATGGAAATTTGCTTTATGCTCTGATAATGTTGGCATTATTAAGGAATTATAGCAGGTGAGGAGTCAGTAGAAGACACAGGACCAGTGGTATTTTTGTGTTTATGCTGTTACTTATAATGAAAAGAGATGTTTGCCTAACCCTATATGATTTAACGTGAGAGACATGCTTTCAGATGTTGGGAAAGAGCTTGGCCTGATGAGAATATAAACTGTATTGGTAACTGTATTGCAAAGAAGAAATTTTCTTCTATTCTAGTAATAGTCTACCACCTGTAATTGAAATTCTCTCTCCTTTTCTAGAAAGCAGACTGAGAAGAGTAATTGGCCCCAGGCAGATAATAGCAAAAGCAAAAGTTGGGTTGCCTAGCATTTTTGACAATTTTATTTACTTCGGATGTTTTAGGGCTAAAACTGCTAAGAAGCTTGAGTGTGTTATCTATGCTGGCCTTCTTGTAGAATAAGCCAAAACCACTATTTCAGCCTTTTTTTTTTCTTTAAGATTTTATTTATTTATTTGACAGAGAATGAGAGATCACAAGTAGGCAGAGGCAGGCAGAGAGAGAGGGGGAAGCAGGCTCCCCACTGAGCAGAGAGCCCGATGCAGGGCTTGATCCCAGGACCCTGGGATCATGACCTGAGCCGAAGGCAGAGCCTTAACCCACTGAGCCACCCAGGCGGCCCCGATTTTGGCCTTTTTACATCAGAGAGATTCCTCTTCTCTGCTGTTTTTCGTGGTCGCTGCTCTCTGTGGAATTGAGTACAGATGAAGGATCGTTGCCTCTCTTCTGAGGCATAAACAAAGATTTATGTATTTGAAAGAGTGAGCGAGCAGACGGAGGGGCAGAGGGAGAGGGTGACAAGCAGACTCCTTGATTGAGCAGGTAGCTCCTCCGAGGGCTCAGTCTCAGGACCCTGAGATCACGACCTGAGCCGAAATCAAGAGTTGGAGGCTCAACCGACTGAGCCGCCCAGGCGCCCTTTCTCTGTTCCTTATAGCCTCCAGCTGTAAGGTGTGGTCAGCCATCTATGATGCGGATGACCCCTATCTCCCTTTGACCATTCTAGGTACAGTTTCTAGGTTAAAAAGGAATTATTTCCAGGATTATAAGACTGGGATTGTAAAATCCGAGTTACCCAATGATAAGACCATATTGATATATGGCTGTCTCTTAACAGGTATGAAAATGGCTGCGCCTATTTCCACGAAGAAGAAAGAGAAGGACTTGCAAAGATCTGCAGGCTTGCTATTCATTCTCGTTATGAAGACTTTGTAGTGGATGGTTTCAATGTGTTATATAATAAAAAACCTGTCATATATCTTAGCGCTGCTGCTAGGCCTGGCCTGGGCCAGTACCTTTGTAATCAGGTAAGGTGGTATACGGTGGATATTTTAAAGCAATTGTGTTTTGTTCTGTCCTGAAACTTGATAGTATGTAATACACCCATTTCTTCAGCTCCAGTTTCAAGAGGAAAGAAACATATATGCTTGTTTTGTCGTTGTCAGCAAATATACTCAAGTATTTTAATGAATTTCCGGCTATGTGTGTGTCTGTGTGTGAAAAAATACATATATATATTTGAGAGAGAGCACACGCTCGTGCAAGTGGTGGGAAAGGGAAGGGGGGAGAGAGAATCTTAAGTAGGCTCCATACTCAGCGTGGAGCCTGATGTGGGGCTCAGTCTCACAACCCTGAGATCATGACCTGAGCTGAAATCAAGAGGTGGACACTTACCCAAATGAGCCTCCCAGGCGTGGGGTGTGTGTGTGTGTTCAGTTGCACAGAGGCAACCACAGTCAACATGTTTTTTTGTAGAGTTTTTACACGGTTATGTGTTTTTACGTGGTTACGTCTGGCTTTTTTCATTTAGTGTTATAACCAGTACATACGCTGTTTGAACAGTTCTTCCAACTGCAGTTTATTTATTTTTTTTTAAAGATTTTTATTTATTTATTTGACAGACAGGGATCACAAGTAGGCAGAGAGGCAGGCAGAGAGAGAGGAGGAAGCAGGCTCCCTGCTGAGCAGAGAGCCTGATGCGGGGCTTGATCCCAGGACCCTGAGATCATGACCTGAGCCGAAGGCAGAGGCTTAACCCATTGAGCCACCCAGGCGCCCCTGCAGTTTATTTTTAATATCTTCATAATATTCCTTTACGTGACTGTATGGTATTTTAAATACTGTTTCCCTTTTGGGCAATTAAAGTGTTCACCTTCTTTTATCTGACCATTTTCAGGTAATGCTTTTTCCATAGGATTATTATGGACATCTTTGTGTACATAACTTCTTCTGTATTAAGGAAATATTTTCTATATTATATTGTTTAAATAGATTTTCAGAATCTATCTAGAATTGCTAGATCAAAGAGCATTACCATTTTTTAATTTCATGGTACATATAGCCCGATTAGGGGGCCTACAAAAAAGTGTTCAGCCTCTTGGCCAAGATTGTTTTAAGGCAAAGCCATGGGATTAGAGGGTTTGTCTTTTGTAAGATGGAGGAGTCCTGGGGAGATACATGGGGGGAAACTCAGGGACTTAAGTTGATTAGGAGCTATGGTCATTGGTGGCAAGAAATTATGTCATTTTTTTTCCTTCCAGATTTTGTTTATAAGCAAGAGCAGGGAGAGGAGCAGAGGGAGAGGGACAACAGACTCTGCACTGAGCGCAGAGCCCAACGTGGGGCTTGATCTCACAACCCTGAGATCATGACCCAAGCCGAAACCAAGAGTCAGATACTTAACCAGCTGAGCCACCAGGCGCCCCTTATGTCCTCTTCTGAGTGCGTACAGAAAGAGCAGATTTATAATATCCTTACAAAAACCTGGAACACATTACTTCCTAATTACTACAGGCCAGGTTCTTATGGACCCACAGTTGTCTTGGGTCAGCAAGACAGTTGGGACAATTGGGACAGCGATTCCAGTTGGAATTGGGACATTGCCAATGCTTAGGAACAGCAATCCAATTTTCAAAAGCTGTATGGGGGCGCTGGTGTACTGTCACAAGACCATGCAACTCTTAGTCTTGGGGTCATGAGTTCAAGTCCCACACTGGGTGTAGAGCTTACTTGAAAAAAAAAAAACAACAACTGTATAAAGGTATTTTGTTAAGTCAGGCAGATGGCAGAATAGTATATATACAGTGGTCATATTCATGTTTTTTAAAGTGTTTATGTGTGGGGTGCCTGGCTGGCTCAGTCAGTGGAACATGTGACTCTTGATCTCGGGGTCATGAGTGTAAGCCCCACATTGGGCACAGAGCTTGCTTTAAAGAAAGAAAGTGTACATGTGCATGTTTTTCATATCAAAAAATATATTTTTTTATTTTTTTTAAGATTTTATTTATTTATTTGACAGAGATCACAAGCAGGCAGAGAGGCAGGCAGAGAGAGAGGAGGAAGCAGGCTCCCCGCTGAGCAGAGAGCCTCATGCAGGGCTCGATCCCAGGACCCTGGGACCATGACAGCCGAAGGCAGAGGCTTTAACCTACTGAGCCACCCAGGTGCCCCTCAAAAAATATTTTTATAAATACTTAGAAAATACTTAGAAGGTTTTATACTAATTTGTTAACAGTAGTGGCTTGATGGCTTATGGGGTGGGAGGGGATATTCACTTTAAACTTCTATATTTTTTATTGTGTGTTTGACTTGGGCTTCATTTTCATAATTTAAAAAGAAAATCCGCTAAGGGGGAGAAAGTGTGCTCATTAAATTTTTGGTCTCGAAATGGTACTACCAAGTCTTAGTTACATAGGACAATATGCTGCCACTGTTTAAAAATTTCTTAAACTATAAACTCCTCAAGGATTGGGAAGCTAAAAATAAAGAATATAAAATTTATTTGACAATTACTATCTCCATTCATAACACTGACTTCGTTTCTTTTAAGAAATGTACATCTGCTAATCCATATTTATTGCTTTTTTAGGAGTGGGTGGATCCATAAATGAGATCCTGTTCTTTGGATGCCTTTTGCTGGTGTTATTTGTCACTAATGCTTGGAGGAAGGATCCTAAATTATCTCCCAAAATGCTTAGAGCTTGGTTGTTTCTCGGTTTGGATGTGTTTTTATTCTTTGGTATATTCTGGAATATAACAAAGATAGTTACCCATTTAGAACACAAGTTGATAGTTATTCATTTTGTTGACACAGAATATTACATTGTCTGTATCTTCTTACAAAAATCTCAGTGCCTGGGTAGCTCAGCTGGTTAAGTGTCTGCCTTCAGCTGAGGTCATGATCCCGGGGTCCTGGGATAGAGGCCCACATCGGAATCCTGGCTCAGCCAGGAGCCTACTTCTCTCTCTCTCCCTCTCCCCCTCCCCTGCTTGTGCTTTCTCACAAGTGTGCACTCTCTCAAATAAATAAATAAAATCTTCAAAAAAAAAAAAAAAAAAAGAATTTCTGCTCCTGGAAATTCACCCTTTTTTTAAACTTGACTCTCTAGATGTACTTCAGCATCTGTTCATAATATTAAGAGTTCCTAAGGAGAGATATTGTTTAAAAAGGGTAATTTTGAGTTTCTTAGAGCCACATTCTTTAGGGGCGTAAGTGAATGGTGGCAAAGCTCTTTCTTACGAAATGGTGTGTTTCTTCTTGTAGCTCGGGTTGCCCTTCCCCTGCTTGTGTCGTGTGCCATGTAACACTATGTTTGGATCCCAGCATCAGATGGTGAGTTCTCTTTTTGGTTTGTAAAATAATACAGAATTGTTTTTGAAACCTTGTCTTCCTTTCAACTGAATTCTGTTTGCTGGCCTCCAGATAATTAGTGGCCTGTTCATTTATCACTTTTATCTTCCCACTGCATAGTACATGCTTCTGGGGTTGAATGTCCATCAAGGTTGGGTGATAGATAGATCAGGAGCACCTGCCTCTTAAGGAATCTTGTCATTACTGTATCATGTGCTCTAAGTAGTAACCTGGGAGTCCAATTAAGCACCAGAATTTCTTTTAAAGCTCATCCTTTGAATGGTTATCGTTGTTGTTTGGATTTGTAAATGGCAGATTTTAAAAATGAGGTTCTTTATTGTAATGTGGGGTTGGAGTTGGATTCTGCTTTTTTTTTCTTAATTTGTAAAATTTTAAATTTAAATTCAATTAATTAACATAGTGTATTATTAGTTTCAGTGGTGGAGTTCAGTGATTCATCAGTCTTACATAACACCCAGTGCTCATTACATCACATGCCCTCCTTAATGCCCATCACCCAGTTACCGCATCCCCCACTCCACTTCCCCTTTAGCAACCTTCAGTTTGTTTCCTGTGATTAAGAGTCTCTTATGGTTCGTTTCCCTCTCTGATTTCATCTTGTTTTTTTTTTCTCTCCCACCCCCTATTCTGCTGATTTTTAGACGTTCAAGTGTTAAGCCTTTCCATACTGAAGCCAGAAACAAAAGGGATAGATTTTAGGGTTCCCTGTTTCTTTTTCCAAGGTAGTTTGATCTTCTGGTTTGGATACATCAATGAGTAATATTGGAAATAAATTTTTGGTTATTTTGGGGGATTGAGAGAATATATTCTCATAAGTATTTAAAATTAGGGAAATATTTGTCCTGTATATATGCAGTTTTTTTTTAAAGATTTTATTTAGTTATTTATTTGACAGACAGAGATCACAAGTAGGCAGAGAGGCAGGCAGAGAGAGAGAGAGGAGGAAGCAGGCTCCCCGCTGAGCAGAGAGCCCGATGTGGGGCTCGATCCCAGGACCCTGGGATCATGACCTGAGCCTTCGGCTCAGGTCATG